ATAAGCCATCAAACTGCCTGGCTAATCAAACTACCCATCTCTGCAGATATCAGTGATTCCAGTCCCGGACCTGTACCAGAACCTGTTTCTATTTCTCTGTGTGTACCTTTAATAAACTGTTAAACTTTTACCCCTGACTCCGTGGTGTGTTCTGCATGTGGGTTTAATTCCTAAAACCAACCATGACAGAACTGGTCCATTCTGTGTGAAGAACAAAGACAGAGTTCAGAACCTTCAGGATGAAGACTTTTAAGTTCACATCAACACAGAGCTGAGGGACGAAGCTCGGTCCATTTCCATTCCTATACGATTAATCATGAAACATGAGGAGGAAAAGACAGAACCAGACAGACGCTCTGCCTCCAGTCCCATGCTGAGCCGCACCGCCTTCAGTTTGACCCAAAGATCGGAGGGTTTTGATCTTTTCTCCTAATATACATGATCAACAACGCAGGAGGATAGAAAATAATCATCTAGATATTGCTGTTCATAAGAATCAGCAGTTTAAAGATCTAAAAATGATTCAGATGATTTTTAGATTTGATTATTTTTAGACATGAAGACGTCTTCCATCTGATGTTGGATTTCTAACTGGGACTCTACAGAATAAACCGTTCTTAGATACTGAGCCCATTCCTCCCAGTCTGACCAGTTCTAATTGCTTTGAATCTGCTCGCCACATGGAGCTTTTTAAGAGCGACTCTTACTCCGGTGTGTTGATCCAGATGATGTCCAGGTGACAGTAGTACACACACTCTTTGTCTCTGTAGGTGTAACATGTGCACCTCCTGGGACGCCTCCTGCCTTCCTCAGCAGGGGTGAAGGTGACCGGGTCAGCACCACTACTGCTCTGGCTGACCTCCCCCATGGAGCCCTCCTTCAGGCCGATGGACAGGAAATCCTCAGCATCATCAGAGCGTGTCAGAGAGGCTGTAATAATCAAAGCAGGACAGAGTGTGACTGAGCAGCAGGAACGCCAGGATGGGATCAGCTGAAAGGTTGGAATATTTCCACCTTCACTGACACTGAGGCAGGATTCAGAGCTGCAATCTGATTGGCTGACAGACCAATTTCAAAATGTTAACAAGAACAAAAATAAGTGGAATAAAATTCCTGTTGTCAGGGGCATATTTACCATTAGGCAAGACTAGGCAGTTGCCTAGGGGCCCCAAGTTCCTGGGGCCCCTTAAACTCTGTTTCCATGTATGGTTAATACAACTATTCTTTATTTGTGCACATTAATTATGTTTTTAATAAAATCCTTTGGCTAAAATGCCATCAGAACGCTGATAATATTAAGTGTGTCTCAGCCCCCCCCCTTTAGTGTCCACCATATTGGATCAGTCCATTTGCTGCACATGTTCAGAAAGGTCCAAACAGACAGCAGCAAACCATTTGAAAACAAACCATGCAAAGAGCAGTGTTGC